TTTTTTGAGAGAGACACAGAGCATGAGTGGGGGAGGAGCAGAGCGAGAGGGAAACACAAAATCTGAAGCAGGCTCCAGGCTCTAAGCTGTCAGCACAGCCCGATACGGGGCTCGAACCCACGACCGGCGAGATCATGACCTGAGCCAATGTCAGACACTTAACCGACTGAGCCACCCAGGCGCCCCTGTTCATTTGTCTTCCTAATTTTCATGTTTGTTTTGTTACGTTTGTCTGAAAATATGCAGACCACATTCTGAGATCAAGCACATGCCATCTGCTCCAGACCGTGTACCCAATGCCTAATATCCCATTTTTACCGAGGAAGAAACTGAGACCCAGAGACATTAAATCATTTCCACAATGGAACAGCTAAGACCAGAATTCAAGTTAGATTTTTGCCGGCCGCCCCAGTGCCCCCACTGCATATGTACTGAGCACCTTTTACATGCTCAGCGCTATATAGATAACTCAAAGAAGATCTAGAATAAATGGTCTCCGTCCTTTAGAAGTACAATCTTTGAGCCCAAACTAAAAAGCACGAATACCACAGGGAAATTTATTCAGTTACTGAGCACCTATTATGCAAGGCACTAATAATCTCGACTCTGTGATAAAGGATCCAGAGTTTTCCATGCAGTCACCCCCTTCACACCTGTGTCTTAGTGACCTTCACAGCAGCACCAGTAGGTAAGAATATTGAAATCCCACTTCACAGCCAAGGAGACTGCTGTAAAGAAATGTTAAATAGTCTGCCTAAGGTCACACAGCCAGGAGTAGAAAAGCTGGGCTTTTCCTGGGTCTGTCTGACTCCCGAACTGGAGTTTGGAGTTCTTGTGCACTGTGTCTCCAGCCTCTCTATTATCATGCAATAGGGATTTTCAAAATCGGGATAAAAAAGAACAGACTCGTTGGTTGAGCCTGGGCGGCAGGCTTGGTTTCCGCTCAAGCTGTAGTCTCATGGTTCGTGGTTTCCAGCCCCTCACTGGGCTCTGCGCTGACAGTGCGGAGCCCGCTTGGGGTGCCCTCTCTCCCTCAATCTCTGCCCTTTCTTCTCCCATGAGTACACACAGTCTTTCTCTCTCTCAATAAATAAACTTAAGGAAAAAAAAACTAAAAAAAAAAAAAAGAGAGAGAGAAACATAATAAGCATTGGCACTCACCCTTAAGGCTCATTGGGAGTGTAGGTCATAGAGACTACACTCTAGGATACAGGCAGTTTGGACCAAACCAGTCCAGTGTTAAGAGCCTTAGTACACTATATAGCACCATAAAAACCCAGCTCCAAGGAACCAACTTTAACGAAGCTTGTGTAGGTCTTCCATATTGTAACGTTCAATCCCCTCCCAGCCCCGCCACCCTCCTGGCACCTTACCAACGTCCATTCGTGATAAACAATAAGCATATTTTCAAGAGAGACAAAAGAAGCAAGAAGCTACAGATCATCTGGACGTAGGGTCAATTTTCCAGAAACGCCAGGATATATCGCCTCACAAATTCTTATGTACGTACAGAAACAATGGAAGAGCATATGTAAAATCAGGACTGTCCTCAAAAACAAGAACTGTGTGCAGCTATAGGGCTGCCATAACCTTGGGCGCTGTAAACACATCATTTTGTTTCTCTTGGAAGTGAAAATGGCTCCGAAGGCTTTGAGAAAATAAGCACTGGTGGATGTTGATTCTTTTCCAGAGTGGTTGGTTGGTGAGAAGAGTTACCAAATACCTAATTGCTGTAATATATGCCAAAGATGGCAAAGAAGGAGCCAATATATCGGATTAGGTGTGACTCTCGAATTACATCCTTTTAGCAAAAACAAGCACCCTCACTCAGTATTCAGTATATCAGCCCTTCAAGTCTTAGTCCCAGTCTACTTTTCCGGCCTTCCTTCCCACTCCTCCTTCTCTGCCTCAACCAGACTGATGCCATGCCTGGGATCTTGTAGGCATTTAACCGATATTTGTTGAAAGACAGAGAGGAGGAAAGGAAGAAAGAGAGAGAAAAGGAAATGGTAAATATAATCATGGCTGAAATGGACTCATGCTATCTTCCTGCTCCCCTCTATGCAACCCTACTCTAAAGAAAGGATCTGAGGGGCGCCTGGGTGGCTCAGTCGGTTAGGCGTCCGATTTCGGCTCGGGTATGATCTCAGGGTTCATGAGTTCAAGCCCCGCGTCGGGCTCTGTGCTGACCGCTCAGAGCCTGGAGCCTGTTTCAGATTCTGTGTCTCCCTCTCTCTCTCTGACCCTCCCCCGTTCATGCTCTGTCTCTCTCTGTCTCAAAAATAAATAAACGTTAAAAAAACAATTTAAAGAAAGGATCTGATAAACTTAGTTCTAAGTGTCATCAAACATGACCTCAAGAAGCTTCTAACTAATCCAGAGCAGTGGTTTTCAACCCTGGCTGCACATCAGAATCACTGAGAGAGCTTTTGAGAAACACTAATGCCCAACCCCTGCCCCCCACCACCCTGAAAATCTGATTCATTGAACTGGAGGGACACCCAGTTCCATATTGTAACATTCAGTCCCCTGGTGCTTTGTTTCTAATGTGCAGACAGGGTTGACCATTTCTGGCACAGCCCAGTCCCCTCAGAGGTCCAGAGAGTTGATGTCACTTCTCCATGGCTGGAGAGCTGGGAGGTGACAGAGGCGGGATATAAACTTACAGCATCACTGTAAGTGATGGGTCATTCTAGCCTTTATCAGCTCTTGATCTCACGATATTCTTTCTTCTCTCGTAAATGTCTCAGACTTCAGTTTTTCTCGTCCATATACGCATTTAGCAAATAGTTATTAAGCACCTACCCTGTGCCAGGTCTACAGCAGTGAGCAAAACAGCCAGTTTCCTCTCACGTTGGCCTCAGCAAGAAAAGCCCTCAAACCTGGATGCCTTTCTCAATTTGGATCATTTGGGCTCCACTAGTTTGTGAATTCCTTGGGACCAGGAGCCACGAGTTATTTATTTTTGGAGCTGCAGAGCCTAGCACATTGCCTGGTGTAAAGGCAGATTTGATAAAGTTTGATGAATAATCAAATACGAGTGATTCCTAAATCCCCACACATGGATCAAGAAAACAGAAAAATGTCAAGAAGACCACTTGTATTAGGACTCTCTCAATTCTATGTCATTGAAATCTAACTTAAATTCTCTCCATCAAGAGAGGGTATTTACTTGCTCGTAACTGGCAAAGGCAAATGTGCAGAGTCCCAGAGGTCAGACCATGTTATTAGGGCTCAGTCTTTCTTGGCGGCTCCCAGCTGGCTCAATCTGTGTCCGTTGGCTTCATTCTTAATTCACAGGCTCTCCACGTGACAGGCAAGATGGTTCCCCAGTGTTCTCAGGTTTGTATCCTCTGATTTCAGCAATCCCAGCAATGACGCCAGGGCAGCCTCCAAAGGCCCATGTGCCCATCCCTGAACCAAACACTATCTGGTTCAATGCTCTCTTAGTATCTCCCAGGGGCCAGGCCCTTTGCAAACAAATAGGCTGTCCAAGAACACTTGGATAGATGAAGGGACGGATTGGTGCATGGGTAGATGGGTATGTGGGTAGATGGATGGATGGACCGGTGTGTGGATGGTGGACAGATGGATGGATAGATGGTGGGTGGATATCATTAGTATCCAATGGCTCCACCCAGAGCTGCCTGAGGCTCTCTTGTTGTCCCCTTCTTCCCACCCCTCTTACCCCAGGCTGTCACTTCACTTTCCTAAAAGCCTTCTGGTTGCCCGTGGAGCCATTAGATGGTCTCTCTTGGTCCTCAGCCAACAGCTAGTACTTTCCCTCCCTCTTGTATCCAGCATCCAGCTGAGTCTGGAATCAATACCAGGACGCTGGGTGTGAACGGAAGGAGCCTGCTCTTTATTTGCCATTATTTACTTCTGAGCGTGTGCATTCCCACTGCTTTCCCATTCTCTCTGTCTCTCCTCTCTTTTCCTTCCCACTCCTTGGGAACTGGCTCAACCACAATAGGATCAGCTCATCTGCATTTGGCCCTAGAGGACCTGCCAGACTCCGAGGAGGAGGGCAGAGGCGGCGGGCGGGCGGGAGCCGCACGGCGCTGTGACAGCGCACAGTCGGGCCCGCGCTCGCCGCCTGGAAGCCCATGCCGGGCCGGAGCCGTGCCGGGATTGCTCATGAGGCCTCTGCCGAGCGGGAGTAGGAAGAACCGCGGCATATCCCTGGGGCTCCTCGCCCTCTGCCTGACCGCAGCCTGCTGTCTGCAAAGTAAGCGCGGGGCGGCGGAGGGGGGGAGGCGGCGGGGCGAGCGCAGCGGGGAGGCTCGGGGCGCGGCGGAGCGGCGGGGCCAGGGGGGCTGCGGAGGACCGCGGGGTGCGCGGGGCGCGGCGGGGGACCGCAGGGCGGCGTGGGGCGGCATTCGGGTCCCGGGTGTCGCGGCTGCCGGGCCACAGGCCCTAGCCCACCTTGGGGGCCCCGCCTGGCAGGGGACGCGCTGCTCCCCGGCGGGGCTGGGCGCGTCCCCTAGGGCGCCGATCGCGGCCGGAGGGGACGAGCAAACCGCAGGCTCTCCGGTCCTGGCACCTTGGGCCACTTGGGGGTGCCCGTCCCGGCCCAGCCCGGCGGGGCGTTATCAGAGCCGGAAGCCGGCGGGGAGATAACCGGCTCCGGGCCCGGGCGGCCGCCTCCTCTGCAGTATTTTCTATTTCTTTTTTCCTGGAATGACCGGACTGCAGCTGAGGTGTTCCGACCCCAAGGGCACGCGGGCCCCGCCCCCTCCTGTGGGGACCCCTCGTCCTCCTCCGGGCTTCCGCGGTCACCAGGACATTCTGTAGGCCTTCCCTAAACGCAGAAGAGCCCACAGCAGACTCTCTTGAAGTAAAGGGGTTCTGGGGGTTTGGGTTTGGGTGTTGGGGCTTGAGGTGGCCCTTGCCACTGTGCACCGAGTGGCGGGCTTTGGGTGACCCTAGAATCTCCCTAGTATGGGGAGTCTGGATGTAAGGCACAGCTGCACAAACTCCCAATGGCACAGACTGTAAGTTTTACTTTCTCGTCTAGTCATTAACGCTATTGTCATTCCCATTTACAGATTAGCTAAGTGAGGTTCAGAGTGACCAGTGCAGGGCCATTGGAGGTGGGAGGGCCAATAGTAAGAGCCAGCTCTTACTAAGCATGGATGCATTCACGATCCCTCAGACTTTACAAGACTTCTGTCCTTGAATCCACAAGGCAACCCTCTTAAGTGCTACTCGATTTCTGTTTCACAAGTGAGGAAAGGAGACACAGAGGTTGCTACTTGCACAAAGTCACCAGCTGTTCCTGGGGAGGGTGGGGTGCCAGGGTTCAAACCCGAGCACTCTAGCACTGCACCCTTACACCTCTCTGACTAGACCCCAGCTTTGGAGACTGCACATCTCAGAAACCCAGAAAGACTGGGACCGGGCATGCACTTCTGGCTGCCTGTTGAGGGAGAAGTAACAGGTTGTTATTTCTCAGGTAGGTGGGTGTGTTTGGCCTGGCAGTGACCTTTTCAATTGTTTTTCAAGGCTCCGACACGTTTCCAACCACCATTCTTACACAACAGATGTTCCCAAGACTCAGGCGCCAGCCAATTGCCACAGTGTGTAATTCATTCATTCGCTCACTCGTTCAGGGCCCCCTCTGCCTGTAGGAAGCAGGCCTCGGTGGGGAAACCTAGTTCAGAGTCATGCCCTCAGACAAGCAAACGACAGTGCCAGCTTGCAGTGGTGAGTCTGGAGAGGCAGGAAGCGCAAACCTTCTGGGAGCCCTGGACGTTCAGAACCCAGACCGGAGAACTGGCCCCACTGAGTCATTCGTGGCCTGGTCCCCAAGAGGACAGAGGAGCGGGCTGAGTCTGGTCTGGGGAGGGAGTGGATAGGCCAGAAGCCACCACGGTTAGAATGGAGCTGTGGGTTCTGGGCTTAGCTGGGGACGGGATGGGTGGGAAGGGGCGGGAGAGCCAGTGTAGGGGGAATCTCACCGAAGCCCCCGGAAAGGCCCAGAAACCATTGCAGGACAGGGCCCGTTCATGCTCTGTCTCTCTCTGTCTCAAAAGTAAATAAACGTTAAAAAAAAAAAAAAAAAAATTAAAAAAAAAACTTAAAAAAAAATAAAAATAAAAAAGAAAGTCTTCCAAATTCCTTCATTTCTGATCTCCACGGGAGATCTGACATACTCCATGCTCGTCTGGGAGGGGGCTGCAGACAGGAGACCCTCCTTTCTCTATTACCACCAGGACCTGAGGACACCTATATGTGACACCCTATTTGCTGTCAGACTTTTTTCTTTAACATGTATGTATGTATGTATGTGTATAATGGACATATAAGGCATTCAATATTACTGTAGGTGTACAATATTTTTTTTTTAGATTTTTTAAATTGTTTTTTAAGTTTATTGATTTCTTTTGAGAGAGAGCAAGAGAGCGAGCAGGGGAGGGGCAGAGAGAAGGAGAGAGAGAGAATCCCAAGCAGGCCCTGCGCCATCAGCACAGAACCCGATGTGGGGCTCAGACTCGTGAACCATGAGAGCATGACCGGAAATGAAACCATGAGTCGGGCGATTAACCGCCTGAGCTATCCAGGTGCCCCTAAGGTGTACAACATATTGATTTGATAATTCTATGTATTGCTCAGTGCTCATCAAGATGAGCGTAGTCATCCTCTGTCACCAACAACATTATTAAAAGATGATTGACTGCGTTGCCTATGCTGTACTTTTCATCTCCGTGGCATTTACTTTATAACTGAAAGTTTGTACCTCTTAATCCCGTGTCCCCACCCTCCCAGCCTCCTCCCCTCTGGCATCCACCAGTTCTCTGTATTTAAGGGCATGTTTCTGGTTTTTGTTCGTTTGTTTTGTTTTTTAGATTCCACATATAAGTGAAATAATACGGTATTTGTCTTATCCATGTCGCATAATACCCTCGTCGCATAATACCCTCTAGGCCCATCCATGTTGTCACAAATGGCAAGATATTCTTTCTTACGGCTGAGTGATATTCCGTTGTAGATATATACCACTCCTTCTTTATTCATTCATCTATTGATGACACGTCTGTTGCTTCCATGTCTTGGCCATTGTACAATAATGCTACAACAAGCATAGGGTTACATATATCTTTTCAAATTAGTGTCTTGGTTTGCTTTGGGTTTTCCAGCAGCGGAAATCCTGGAACCCACGATAGTTTTAATTTTAATCTTTTGAGGAACTTCCATACTGTTTTCCACAGTGGCTGCCCCAGCTCTCGTCCCCACCAACAATGCATGAGGGCTTCCTTTTGTCCACATCCTCACCAACATTGGTTTTTTTCTTGTCTTTCTGATACTAGCTGTTCTGACCTGTGCAAAGTGGTATCTCACTGCGGTTTTGATTTTCATTTCCCTGATGATTAGTGATGTTGAGCATCTTTTCACGTGTCTGTTGGACACCTGTATGTCTTCCTTGGAAAAACGGTTATTCAGATCTTCTGCCCATTTTTAAACAGGTTGTTTGGGTTTTTTGCTGTTGAATTGTATAAGTTCTTTATATATTTTGGACATTAATCCCTTAGCAGATATACCACTGCAAGTATCTTCAATAGTTGCCCTTTTGTTTTGTTGATGGTTTCCTTTGTAGAGCAAAAGGTTTTTATTTTGGTGTAGTCCTGAGTCTTTATTTTTGCTTTTGTTTCCCTTGCCTGAGGAGACGTATCTAGAAAAATGTTGCGAAGACTGATATTCAAGAGATTACTGCCTCTGTTTTCATTTAGAGGTTTTATGCTTTCAGGTCTCACATTTATGTCTTTAATCCGTTCGAATTCATTTTTGTGTATGGTGTAGGCAGGTGGTCCAGTTTTATTCTTTTGCATGTAGCTGTCCAGTTTTCCCGAAACCATTTGTTGAAGAGACAAGTATTCTCTTATGTACTCTTGCTTCCTTTGTTGTAAGTTAATTGACCATATAATCTTGGATTTATTTCTGGTCTTTGTGTTCTGTTCTGTTGATCTCTGTGCTGTTTCTGTGCTAATACTATACTGTTTTGATTATTATAGTTATAGTTACAGTATATCTTAAAGTTCAGGGTTATGATACCTTCAGCTTTGTTTTTCTTTCTAAAGATTGTGTGGTTATTTGGGGTCTTTGTGGTTCCATACAAATTTTAGGATTCTTTGTTCCAGTTCTGTGAAAAATGCTGTTGGCATTTTGCTAGGGATTGCATTAAATCTGTAGATTGCTTTGGGTAATATGGATTAATGGTAATAAGAATTAATGATATTAATTCTTCTAATCTATGAGCATGGTATATCTTTCCATTCGTTTGTGTCATCCTCAATTTCTTTCATCAATGCAGTTTTTCATCAGTGTTCTTTCATCAGTATAGTTTTCAGAGTTTAGGTCTTTCCCCTCCTTGGTTAAATTTATTCGTAGGTATTTTATTCTTGTTGGTGCTATTGTAAATGGAATCGTCTTCATAATTTCTTTATCTGCTACTGTTAGTGTGTAGAAATGCAACAGATTTTTGCATATTGATTTTGTGTTCTGCAACTCTACTGAATTCATTTATCAGTTTGAATAGTTTTTTGGTGGAGTCTTTAGGATTTTCTATATATAGTATCATGTCATCTGCAAATAGTGGCAATTTTCTTCTTTCTTACCAGTATGGAGCCTTTTAAAATCTTTGTCTTGTCCACTTGCTGCAGCTAGGATTTCCAGGACTATGTTGAATCAACGTGGGGAGAGTGGACATCCTTGTCTTGTTCCTGATCTCAGAGGAAACACTTTCAGTTTTTCACCCTTGAATATGATGTAAGCTGTGGGCTTTTCATAGATTTCCTTTGCTCTGTTGAGGTATGTTTCCTCTAGACCTACTTTATTGAGGGTTTTCATCGTGAACAGGTGTTGTACTTTGTCTAATGCTTTTCCTGCATCTATTAAACTAATCATATGGTTTTTACCCTTCCTCTTGTTAATGTGATGTATCACCTTGAATGATTTACAAGTGTTGAACCACCTGGATCTTTATATTAATCTCACTTGAGCATGGTGAATGACTTTATTACTGTGGTGTGGAATTCTGTTTACTCATATTTTGCTGAGGATTTTTGCGTCTTTGTTCATCAGAGATATTGGCCTGTAGTTTTCTCCCTTTTTATAGTGTCTTTGTTTGGTTTGGGTATCAGGGTAATGCTGGCCTCATGGAATCCATTAAGAAGTTTTCCTTCGTCTATTTTTGGAATAGTTTGAAAAGAATAAGTATTAAGTCTTCTT